GTTCCGCGGAGAGTCCCGTGGCGAGTCCCCTTGGCACGTCGCGCGGTGCACGTCCATTGGCACGTTCCGTAGCGCGTCCCCTTGGCACGTCCCGCGGTGCGTGCCCATGGCACGTCCCCTGGCACGTCGCCTGGCGCGTCCCTTGGGACGCTGCGCGTCCTCCTGGCATGTCCCCCTGTCGATTAGTTCTTGGGCAGCTACCATCTGCTCAGGCAACTCGAGCTTAAGATCCAGATCAGTTCGGCCAGGACTCGGATGCCAGGGAGGACTCGATTCACAACGCTATATAGAGCACAGTCGCGGCATGGCACATCGCAGTTCAGCACGGCCCAGCACAGCACAGCCGTCGGCACGGTACATCAAGATCGATACACTCAACATTGCACCTTGGCACGTTCCTTGGCGCGTTCCATGGCGAGTCTACCTGGCACGTTGCGCGGCACGTCCCCTGGCACGTCCCGCGGCACGTCCATTGGCGGCACGTTCCGTAGCGCGTCCCCTTGGCACGTCCCGCGGTGCGTGCCCATGGCACGTTCCCTGGCACGGCGCCTGGCGCGTCCCTTGGGACGTTCCGCGGCGCGTCCTCCTGGCATTGCCCCTCTGTCGATTAGTTTTGGGGCAGCTACCATCTGCTCAGGCAGCTCGAGCTTAATATCCAGATCAGTTCGGTCAGGACGCGGATGCCAGGGAGGACTCGATCCACAACGCTATATAGAGCACAATCGCGGCATGGCACATCCCAGTTCAGCACGGCGTAGCACAGCACAGCCATCGGCACAATACATCAAGATCGATACATTCAACATTGCATTGGCCCGTCGCCCAATCAAGTGTCTTTGAAACGTTGCCATGCCTTACATTTCTATATTCCTTTCCGGGTTCGTGGGTCGATCATGTTTGCGGGTATGCAGTGCTCTTCGACTGGGGCTCAGACCCGTAGTTCGTGTTGCGCATGTTTCCATAGATTGCCCCTCGACTGGCGCTCCAAATCATTAGTGCTCTACGTCTGTCCCTATCGATTGCTCCTCTCGCGAGGCTCGAATTCTTACTCTTTACGTTTGTTCCCCTCGATTGCCCCACTCCTGGAGCTCCCATCCTTTGCGTTTCGAATCCTCACCGCTCCCTTGAGTCGCACGGATCTGTATGTGTCGTGCGAGCTGGAAGTGGGAAGTGTGTCGGGAGAGGTGCTGTCTCGAGCCCCTTGGGCGGGAGATCTGGGTGTGGGAGTATCGCCTCCTTTTCGTCTAGTTATACCAAAAGGGGGTGGCATCATGACCGATGCATGTGGCATGTAGAAGTATGACGCGTGAGGGTAAAGTGATTGCTGTTGTTGCTGCATCTGCTGCTGTTGTTGGTGGTGGTGGTGCTGCTGATGTTGAACTCTCACGACTGAAGAATAAGTATTGTTGATCCCCCCCTTAGGGGCACAGTGTTTTTTCTATTGAAATGCCCTTCCCAGGGCTCGCACTCTGTTCCCGGAAAGGGCATAGGCCCAGGGTTCTCTTTTAGCTGTTTACCCCCAGGTTCGACTTGAGGTGGGACGGCTAATTTCTTTTACGATAAATATCGAGGTCGAGGTGGACCGGTGAATTTAATGTTGAGGATGTCTCGAGCGAAACGCTTGTTGTTCAGAATTTGTTGAGGATGTCTCGAGCGAAACGCTTATTTTGTGTTATATATTGTCCTCTCCTGGAGACCTGAATTCAGAGGATCTCTGAAGTGAAATGCTTGTTTTCACGTGCCCAGGTCTTGAGGATGTCTCAAGCGAGACGCTTGGTTTCACGCCTCCAGGCTGCCCAGGCAGAGGTCTAGCGTCAGGATTTGCTGAGGATGTCTCAAGCGAGACGCTTGGTTTCACGCGTCCTCGCCCAAGCGGATGTCTAGCATGAGGATGTGTTGACGAAGTCTCGATCGAGATGCTTGTTTGCACGTGTCCAGGTTGCCCAGGCGGATGCCTAGCATGAGGATGTGTTGAGAATGTCTTGAGGGATACGCTTGTCTTCACGTGTCCAGGTCGCCCAGGCGAATGTCTAACATGAAGATGTGTTGAGGACGTCTCGAACGAGACGTTTGCTTTCACGTGTACAGGTCGCACAGGCGGATGTCTAGAATGAGGAGGTGTTGAAAACGTCTCGAGCGAAACGCTTGTTTTCACGTGCCCTTGTCACTCAGGCGGACGTCTCAATGAAGATGTGTTGAGGATGTCTCGAGCGAATTACTTGTTTTCACGTGTCCTGTTCGCCCAGGCGGATGTCTAGCATGAGAATGTGTTGAAGATGTGTTGAGCGAAACGCTTGTGTTCACGTGTCCAGGTCGCTCAGGCGGATGTCTAGCATGAGGATTTTGACAGGATGTCTCGAGCGAAACGCTTGTCCCCAGCACGTTCCGTAGCGCGTCCCCTTGGCACGTCCCGCGGTGCGTCACCATGGCACGTCCCCTGGCACGTCGCTTGGCGGGTCCCTCGAGACGTTCCGCGGCGCGTCCTCCTTGCAGATTCCCCTGTCAATTAGCTCTGGGGCAGCTACAATGTGTTCAGGCAGCTAGAGCTTAAGATCCAGATCAGTTCGGTCAGGACTCGGATGCAAAGGGGTCTCGATCCACAACGCTATAGAGCACAATCGCGGCATGGCACATCGCAATTCAGCACGGCGCAGCACAACACAGATTTCGGCACCATCAAGATCGATACATTCAGCATTGCAACCTGGCACGTTCAGTGGGGCGTCCCTTGTCGAGTCCCCCTGGCACGTCGCGTGGCGCGTCCCCTGGCACATCCCGTGGCACATCCATTGGCACGTTCCGTAGCGCGTCCCCTTGGCACGTCCCGCGGTGCGACCCCATGGCACGTCCCCTGGCACGTCGCCTGGCGCGTCCCTTGGGACGTTTCGCGGCGCGTCCTCCTTGCAAATTTCCCTGTCAATTGGCTCTGGGGCAGCTACTATGTGTTCAAGCAGCTAGAGCTTAAGACCCAGATCAGTTCAGTCAGGACTCGGATGCAAAGGAAGACTCGATCCACAACGCAATAGAGCACAATCGCGGCATGGCACATCGAAATTCAGCACGGCGCAGCGCAGCACAGCCCTTGGCACGGTGTATCAAAATCGATACACTCCGCTTGGCATTTGCCCGCCACCCGATCAGGTGTCTTTGAAAACGTTACCATGCGGTGCATTTCTATATTCCTTTCCGGGTTCGTGGGTCGATCATGTTTTCTATCAAAGAAAACCTTCGGCCACCAAGCTGCGCCACTGGCTCCCGGTTTACAACAACACCAACAACAACGGTTCCCGCCGGATACTCCCTCACAAATTACTCCCACATCGCGCTCTCGCGCGGGACGTCCAGACATCGCGCTCTCGCGTGGGACGTCCTCACAATTTATTCAGACGCCGCGCCCTCGACACTCAAGAATCACGCTCTCGCTTTCGCCTTTCTCCCGATTAATTTGGGAATCGCGCTGTCGCTCGAGACTTCCTCGCGATTCATGAAGGACGCACGCTTCATCAACCCGCCTGCTCGACCTGGCCGCCTGGGCCTGCCTTCCCGACCCGCCAGGGTCTACAGTCTACTCGCCCGATCTGCCCGTCTGGTTTTGCCACGTGTTTTCTGCTCTGGCCCCCCTCCTGCTAATCTCTCTGTCGTGCTCCATCCTCCTCCCTCCCCCTGGTCTCTTCCTTCCATCCGTCCTCTCTTCCCCTGCCTTGAGGGCTGCACGAAGTACACGTCGCAGGTAAAAAAGGTATACCCCCAAGGGGGTACGATCGAAGACACAAAAGGCGGGTATCGAGGGTTTGGGATATACGCATTGCATGGCACGCGCGCAGATACAATATCAACACGGTTGTTGTTGATGTGATTGTTGTAGTTGTAGTTGTTGTTGTTGTCGTCGTCGTGAAACTCTCCCTACTGAAGAATAATCATTGTTGATCCCCCCCCTCTGGTGACCATTTTGTTTTTCAATTGAAGTGCTTCTCCTTGGGCTCGCACCTTGGTTGTCTAATCAAGGAACTCACGGGGCTCAAAGTGGGCCCCCTGTCCCCGGTTTACAACAACAAGAGCTCCAGCCTGATACTTCCTCACAAAAAAATATTCTCAAATCGCGCTCTCGCGCGGGATTTCCTCGTAATTCATGTACGCATCGCGCTCTCGCGTGGGACTCCCTCGCAATTTATTCAGACGATGCGCCCTCGACGCTCAGAAATCACGCTCTCGCTTAGAGTTGTCTCACGATGTGCCTGGGAATCGCGCTATCACTGGAGACTTTCTCGCGATTCATGCAGGACCCACGCTTCAGCAACCCGCCTGCCTGCTTGACCTCGTCGCTTGGGCCCGCCTTCCCGACCTGCCCACTATGAGTGCCCGCCTGGTTCTACCACCTGATTTCTGTTCCTTGCCCCCTTCCTACTAATCTCTCTCGTGCTCCATTATTCTCCCTCCCCCTTCCACCCGTCCTCTCTTACATTGTTTTAGGGGCTGCACTAAATGCGCGTGGCAGGTAAGGAAGACATACCCCCAAGGGGGTACGATCGAAGACGACGAGGGCGGAGACCGAGGGTTTGTGATGTACGTATTGTTGGTACGTGAGCAGACAGGAGCGAACAGTCTTAAAATGCTTGTTGATGTTGTTGTTGTTGCTGTTGTTGTTGTTGTTGTTGTTGTGGTTGTTGTTGTTGTTGTTTTTGTTGTTTTTGGTTTTGTTGTTGTTGTTGTTGCTGTTGTTATTGTTGTTGTACCCAAGCCGTTCTCCACGCGGGGCGAACAATTGCATGAACGATCATACAAAAAACAATGCGCGTACTCCCTGGCTCCGCTGGACCTCCCAGGAGCCCACGAAAATGGCGCCAATTGCGCAGTTCGCAGTCCCCCAGGGAGCTGCGAGGTCCCGCCTGGAAGCGCGTACTCCCCGACTCCGCCGTGCCTCCCAAGAGCCCACGAAAGTGGCGACAGTTGCGCAGTTCGCAGCCACCCAAGGAGCAACGTACTCCCCGACTCCGCGGGACCTGGGTCCGCGTACTCCCCGACTCCGCTGAACCTCCCAGGAGCCCACGAAGAAAGGAGGAGTGCATACCACAGTGCTCTGCTCAAAACGGGAGCCCTACTTACGTAGAAGGATTATCAAAAAACAAGTAGGAGGCAGGGGGGGAGGAGGCAGGAGGGAGGCGGGGGATGAGAAGGAGGACGAGGAGGAGCAGGAGGAGGAGGAGGAGGAGGAGGACGAGGAGGAGGAGGAGGAGTCGTGATCGCAGTACCCCATTCAAAACGCAAGCCCAACGCAGCACAGTTGGGGATCAAGCGTGAGATGGGATGCAGGACGGAGGTCGAAGGGAACGAGGAGGAGAAGCCGCGACCGCCGTGCTCTGTTCGAAAAGCGAGAGCCCAACGCAGGAGGCGAGCGAACAACATCCCGGACCGTCCCATTCGAATGAAATTGCGTGACGGAGACCTAAACTTGAGCAGGGACCGACCGTCCCGGCATTCCTGTAGTCCTACCACGAAATGTTCTTAGAACCCAAAAATGTTCTAAGAACAAAAACAATGTTCTTATAACACAATTCCGACGTGGTAAAACAAGACAGACTCCGCCAGAAATGTTCTGAGAACATTTCGTTGGAACCTCAACAAATAATTAGAACATTGTTTGGTGGGGCTATAGGCGAGCCGGGACGCTTCGCCACTGCTTGAAAAACGGAGAAGAGGCCCTCGGATGTAGTTCGGGGCACCCTGGAGAACTAGAGCCGGGACCAGGCCTAGATTGCCCCCTAGTACCTTGGGTTCCCAATGCAGCCGATGGCTGGATCGTTTCACGACGGGGTCCCCAGACGTTGCGACCCTTTCCCTGCAGGGCCACCTCTTCATCCCGAGTCGTTTCTCCCCGGCCCCAGGCCCCGAAATAGAGCCCCAAGGGCCGAAAACTGAGAAAAGCCAGCGCCTTGAGTGTTCACTCCGTTGGAGGTCTCGGCGTCTCCACCCTGAGCCCACATGCGGAAGCGCGCCGCCAGCCGCGCCCGGAAGCGCGTCTCCTCGCCGCGGCGGCGACGAGCGAGCGCAGGCCCTGCGGCAGGAAGTCCTGCCCGGCCGGGCCCCGGGAGCCAGCGCGGGAGGCGTGGCGCTCGCCACCCCCCGGGCCAGCGCCGACCCAGGAGGTCAGCCAGGGCCGCGTCCCGACCCCAGGACGGCCACTCGGGCGTGGCCTAGCATTCTCATCACTATTAGTTTAGAGAAGGTAGCTTCGAGCCCGCAATACGAGCTCCCCTCTTGTTGTATCGATGTCTTCCAGGATGGCTACGAGGGCGCCCCCAAAGCTCCCAAGAGCGCCCCACGAGGGGCCCAAGAAGCGATGGGGGGCAGTGCACGGTGGGGTTGAAGACAGGTGCGCCTTTCGTGCACCTGCGGGGCCCCAGGGGGAGGGGGGCCCCTGCTGGGCCGCCTGGTCGCCAGCGTGGCGCAACCCCGCCAAGCCCCACGCAGCGCACGACGCGGCAACGGGGCGGCGGCGAGGTGGTAAGGGACGGCAGCGTGGCCACGTCTCGCCAGACCCACTCAGCGCACGACGCGGCAACGAGGCGGCAACGTGGCGGCACCGTGCGGCAACGGCCGGCAATGTGGCGAAACCTCGCCGCATAGGGCGCCAACGATGCGGCCACGGGCGGCAACGTGGCGAACACTCTCCGGACCCACCCAGCGCACGACGCGGCAACGAGGCGGCAACGGGCGGCAGCGTGGCGAAACCTCGCTGGGCCTTCCCAGCACACGACGCGGCAACGAGGCGGCAGCGAGGTGGAGTCGTAGCGATACCTCGCCAGACCCATCCAATCCCCTAGAACAACGCAGGAAAAGAGGAAAAGAACCCTAAGTGCAAACACGGCTTCTGGAATCTGCAAACTTTCTGGAATCGCAGACTGTGGCTCGGGAGTTCTGGTGGCACGATCCCTGAGTTTGGTTCTGGGGGCGCATTTCTCTCGACTTCCAATCCTCCAGCGCCATTCGCATTATACGCATTGCGCGGGGTAGGCATCGCAAAAGTATAGACACCTATGTTGAATCTTTTAAACAACAGTCAGCACGATGTGCAATACTTTTTTGTCGCAGCCGCAGGCGAAGGCGCCAGCGGCGAGTCAGGTCCGAGCGGGCCGCGCAAGAGCCGAATTGCCTAACGCCGACGGGCTGGCGACCTCAGCAGCGCCTCGGCGGGCGGGCCGGCGTGAGGGGGGGGGGTGCAAGCTGCAGCTGCCAGGGGCCAAGGATGTGCAATTCACCAAGCGACACATTTCGATGGTGACATCATGATGCCGCGTGATCGTACCGTGCCAATTTGCACCACATCGCTTTCTCACCTATCTAAATGTAGCTCCGGGCTCGGGTGGCCGTGCGGGACAACCCATGGCACTCCGGAAAGCTCTCGACGAGGTCGGGTCAATCGAAAGCACCCATATTCTCGAAAATCCGAGGCAAACTCTGACAGAAACTCAACAAACCTACAGAAATCGCGCTACCATGAGG